GATCCGGCTTCTGCTTGTAGTCGCTGCACGCGTATTTCTTGCAATTCTGTTCTTGCTTGCAACTGAGCCTGCTCGAGCTTGAGTTCGGCTAACCGCTCTTTCGCCTCTAACTCCGCGAGGAGTCTCTTGCGTGAGGCTACGGAGCGGCGTGACCTAGTCTCGCCGGGCTTCAATGTGCACTGCGATCTTTGATCACCCTCTTGCTGGGTTTCTTCCGTTGCGGTTGTTCTATCGGTTGCCGAGGTAGCGGTCGTATCGCTGACCGTTGTGGTTTCGCTAGTGGTGTTTGTTGAACCACTAGCGGCTGAGTCGCCCCCGGAGGCCTCTTCTGTGGCCCCCTGGGTTGTTTGTTCATCCTTGCGACGCTTCGATGATTCTCCGTTGTTACTACGCGTAATCACCATTTTTCTTCACAATAATATTTTTTCGTTCTTGCGGTTTGCTTCTTTCTTCCGGCAATACCAAGACCGATATTGTCTTTTTCTTCTAGTAATCCGGCTTCTCGAAGGACCATTAATATTACGGATCGCCGTAATGCCGTGCGAAAAATGGAATAAAACGCGCTGGTCTTGCTTTTAACTGGAGGCAAGCGGCGGTGAGGAGGAACTTGTACTTTTTCTTTTCTTGCTGGTGCCTTTTCGGTGGCTGGAGAGCGACTGCTGACCCTAGCGGCCGGCCCGTCTTTTATATGATTTGGCCGCTGCTGGCCAGCGGACCCTTGCCTCACCCCCGCGCCTATCTTTATTTATTTAATAACCTTACAAACTAATAAACATAATTCACTATATAATATTCTTATAACTACTTGTTAGACTAGGGTGTACATATCAATATTTTTACTTATTTACAGGTTTACATTATAATTTTCAGCTGCTTTAGGCGGAGAATCCTTCCCCCCGCCTCAGCACTATAAATATAAAACGTCGTGGCGCGGTGCGCGTGGCTTCATTTGCTCCGCGGCCGCGTCACGATAACATGCTCTTTGGTTACACTACTACTATTATTTTATGTGCCTAACGGCCTAATATATTTATTATATAATAAAGTAAACATTTATTATATTTAACAATTACAGTTTTCATTAGAAGACTATGCTAACTCTCCCTGTTCATACGGTGCCTTTATTTGGGAGAGTTATTGCACAGTTACAACTCAACCTTAAACTTAGTTATAATACAATCATTATTTTTTATCGTTCGATACAAGTAATACAATTATTTACACAAATTATAATTTAAATTCAACATAAGGTTGCGCTAGTCCCGCCGTATAACCCTTGCTAGTTGTCGAACCAGAGGCGTGGCCTGATAATTACACCGTCGTCATGGCTCCGCCCACCGCTCCTAGGTTGTTCAACTAGCGCCGGTTACAATAAGCATTTTCTTTCGTTTGTTTAATATTGTTGCGTCGTGCACAATATATATACTCTTATAACAGAGCAAAGACATGACGAAGTTACAGCCTCTTGACATAATCATACACTGTCAATAAAAATATATTTCTTTTTATTTTGTAACATTATACAAAATGTAATTCAACAGTTAGTACTATCGTTGCGCTAATAATCCTTATGTGACCCGCCTAGCCTCTTATCTGCCACATCTGGCCTCCCCCTAATGAATATTAACTAATAACAAACTGTTGTGTAAAGCGAGCGAGTTGAAGTGGGAATAATTTCTATTTGTATGACTCATTTTCAATGACATACATTAATTATATTTTTTGTAATCCGTTAATTCAATTGACGCGGGTAACGCATATTATGGGTTGTATAAAGCTTTTTCTAGGAAACTTGTAATCAAACAAACCTAAGTAGTTTCTTTTTTTAAATTTAAGTGAAATTGACGAAGACCATACAGCCTACGTGATAGAAACCGATCATTACCGTTCAGTGTAAGCACGCAAAGGCTAGAATACAATGACAATGGTTATAATTCCTCTATGCTAGAATAGGATAGAATAGAATAATTTTATATTATTCAACTAGCTGTTCCCCGCGACTTCGCTCGCGTGTTAGGGTTTTTATGTTTTTCGCACGGAACCCTAATTCTTTTTCTAAAATAAAAGTAGCCTAAGTTACTCCTTATGAAATCAGCTATCTGCCAGTGAAAGTCCCGTCAAAATCGGTCCAGCCGTTTCGAAGATTAACCGGAACAAACAGACAGACAGACAGACAGACATAAATTAAAAAAAAAGTATTTTAGGTATTTAGGTATATTAGGTATAAGTAATACTTTCATATGCATTTAGTAAAAAAACTGTAATTTGGACATTACAAACAAACACTTCAATTTTATTTATTTGTATAGATATAGATTACAAGAATACTTATTGAAGGCATTCACTTTTAACCTAAGCCTAATTACTCGTTGTTTTTTATAGGAGTATGGGTGAGAAAGTAGCTTGTCGCTCATCATAAAGATCATAGTATGCGAGCAACCCAGGGTTAATCCCCGACGGCACAGTTAAAATTGTTATTGATTTTTCTACCACGTGCTCTGCAGAAAACTTTATGCTATGGCCCACAGACACCTTCATTTATTCTTGTTTAAGAATCTAAATGCAGATGCGTTGTCATAACTGAGGACTAAGATGGAATGCTTCGTCACCATTAAACTGCCAAACCAAGAGCGTCCGGTTCTCAGCACTTACCGTACGAAACACAGCAGCTATTTCCCATTGTTAATCTGTGCAAGCGTGTCCCAATCGTGCTGCATCCATAACAGTCTGCAACGTCACTCTACCACAATAAAAGTGATAATCACACCGCAAACCAAAATTGCGATTTGTTCAGCTTAGATTTCAGTCGAGATTCTGCAACCTATTGTACAGTATTGATTTAATGGTTATTGCTTCATCGATCTAGAATCGAAGTGACAGCTAAACTGACCGCAGTCCAGTGGGGTTAATGCGGCTAGTTCGTGCGACGAGCTCATGTTTGCATATCGCCGCACGAAACTCGCACTTATCATGTTTATTGATTGACACGCCAGTAATTCACCGTTTCAGACGTGCCGGTATTGCTGCGTAAGTGATACGCAGAAGCGGGAGCGTTAAGAATACGCTCCCGCTTCACAAATAAGCATAATAAACAATGAGTGTTTATATCGAAACGAATAAAACAATAATGCTAAAAAAAATATTTTGTAGTAGATAATAATTGACCCTAACCACCTATTTTATGAAACACTAAGAAGTTAAATAATTATTTACACTTCGCTATGTATAACTCGTAAGTAAAACAAGCAAAGTAAGATGATTATTTAAATTTACGCGAATTACACATTGAATAAAACTATTTTTACGAATTTTATCGTTGTAATTTAATGGTAGTCCACTAACTATGACATCAAAACATTAAACATCTCATTATCTTCGGAATTACAACATTATCTCTATAACTTCGGAAATTTGCTAGTGATAAAATTAAAAAAATTAAAACCGACTTCAATATAAACAAAATGAGAACATCAATTAGTCGAAGTCAATTAAATACGCATTATGAAGGATAACTCAATAACTACTGGTAGATTTTGTTCAAATTTATATGGGACTATAAGAAAAGCACCAGCTTTCAAATAAAAAAAGAATTATCAAAATCGGCTCACCTAGAAAAAGTTCTGACGTAACATACATAAAAAAGTTCAGTCGAATTGAGGAGGTTTTTTTGAAGTCGGTTGAATGAGTTAAAATAAAACGCAATAAAATCCGTAAATTTAGTATTATTTAACCAGCAAAGTCTGTTTGAAGTAGGATCGACTCTTCAAGTATTTATGTATTCTCAAAAAAATATCTGCAATAAAAAAAATAAAAATACTCTGTAATATGCGATGGTAACTGAAAGGCCGACCGTAAATTTCAAATTACATATGCTGTGACAGTTTTATTAGTCGGAATTTTTAGTCTTCAGTCGCCAGTGTGGGACTGAAGCAGCGTTATATACTTCCGGCATCAATTTAAGAAAAGTCCATAAGTTGTGACTTTAATTCTGCCAATTTATAACAATTTAACACACTATTATAAACAAAAATTAATTAATGCAATCTAAATTATTCCATTATCCGCTATCTCTTACAACTCAGGATGGATGACAAAATTTACAAGTCGTGGTTTTACTGTTCTTTGTTTTAGGTGGCGATAAGTTAGTATTTGGGCGTTACACCGCTTAGGAGGGGTCGTGGATACATGCTAAATGCTTATAGCATAATTTGAACGCCTAAATTTTTTATTTTCTTGTGTGTTGAGTGAGCTCTTTCTTGGCTTAGTCCTGCCACTTGCGTAAGAATAAATGATTAAATACATTGATCTCCGTTTGTTTTCTCATATCATCTTTTTTTCTTGCCAGTTAGTACAGCAAAAATAAATATAATTAACATAAATAAATATAAGTAGAATAAAGTATGTAAAGTTATGGGGAGCTGGTGTGGAAAATATTTTTAATGATTTGGGTTTCATTATCTCACATTTAAAAATAGTTAGTTCATATCTTCACTTAATACTTGGAAATGAATCATTGAATATACTTTGTAATCTTACTTGTAGGTATATAACAGATAAAATTTTATTTATTTTCATTTAATTTTACTACACGTGTGAAAGACCTTTTATCTACAGACCCGTCAGTTTCTTTTAGCCCCTGAAAACTTTCCGTGCATCAAACATAACCAAATTAGTTTCGACACGAAAACTCCAAGTGGCCGTTTGTCTGACACAATGGAATCGATACAAAACTTCCCCTTTCAATAACTTTTTTTCTGTTTCAGGTCGAACAGGGGCACATCACAATAAGAAACAACCAAGACAAAGAAAAAGGCCGTTGTAGCACGCGACGCCAAAAGAACAATCGATTCGACACTGGCAGCCGAGTGTTTGATAGTTTTGTACCTACCTATACCCGGCTTTAGTTTTAAAAATGGCGGGGTCGAAGTTTGAATTTGCCGCGCTGCGGGTGGCGTGACGGGTCATTATGCGCCGAGACTGAGCGCGGTGCGGACGTCCGGATGCACCCGACGGGCGCGGCCAGCCTGCCCGCCGCACCTGAGGCGGAGGTGCAAGCTATGCACTCGATGGACTGGCTCTTCAAGAAGGAAAGGATATATCTCCTCGCACAGTTCTGGCAACAGGTGGGGTTAATGATATTGAAGTCGAACGTCTATTCAAATTTTGCTACCCCAAGAATCATCATATAATTAAACATTTTTATTTTAAGTAGAACGTCTATCAACATTGAAGAATCAGGACTTAGTTACTTTCATACAGAACACCTTTCAACCAGCAATTCTTAGACGGTACTCTCGGTAAACACTTAGGTACTATCAAATAAGCCGCATCCTCATTGGCTTCCTGCTCTCGAAATAAAACTATTCAACATGATATTTTGCATAAACAAGCTTTTCCGCACCTATTTACATATCAGAGGCAATCTTACTACAGCATTGAATTCGTGCAAAATCCCTTAACTAATTATTTCATGATTGATAAGGTAATATCGCCACTAAACAGCCTTGTATCTAAGATACAAGATAACAATTCAATAGACATTAGTGGAGACCTCAACGGTAACAAAGCAACGGAATCAATTATTAGTTTAATATAAGGTGCAATTAACCTGAGGGACGAGGGCGACCGATTTCCGAGCCCAGCTTCGAAACAATTACATCTATTGTTGTTGCAATCCCTGTAATATCTGATTGATGTTCAGTTTCTATAAACCCGCGATGAATTGAAATTGCGAGCAGATAACGAAACCCGCCTAAGTTCAATTTAAACTTACAGTTTTATTTCCATATTTTTGATTTTAAAAGTCATCTTACATTTCTATACTTAAATATTGTTAAATGTGACGGACCAAAGTCTAAATAGATTTTTCTAGAATCTATTCAAATACAGAAAAAAGAAATCATAATAGTCGTAATACAAAAGTCACTTACTATTTTATAATTATCATCATCTTACAGAAACTACAGAACGTGTAGACATGGCCATTATATCCGTATTAGTCGAAAATATTTTAAAAGAAATCCGTAGAAAGCTAAAGGTAATTACAATTTTGACAAACGCATTAAAACAGTTATATATTTCAGGATCTGAATTTTTACTTGTCTCTAACTCTTCATCCAAGCTTATCACATATAATATGGCATAAGTATTATATAAAGTACGATTGGAGATCAGTAAATGCTCTAAATATTTGATAACTTCCGGACAGTATATCAAAGAGTTGCCGACGTTGTAGAAGATGTAGAACGTTATACATAGCAGAGCCATGTTGCAGCTATATTATGGTCGTAATGCTGTTGTGTTACGTATGGTAAGTGTAGAAAACCGGAGACCCTTTTTACGGGACACGGGGCACTCCATCGTAGTTCTGAGGGGTGACAACGTGTCTGCATTTTGATTCTTAAACGAGGATAGATGTAGATGATTATGGGCGACAACATCCACTTACTATCAGGTGTACTGTGTTATCTGTAACTAACTTTGCTATCCTGATTTTGTACAAAAAATATCTTCCATTTCGCAATTAAGATTCGATCGCACTACGAAGATAAACTTCTTAATAATAAAAAAGACAATACAATGCAATAAACATGCATTAAAATTTGTTCGCTCACTCAATGTTAGACAAGAACCGATAATCTACGTGCAATTATAATAAATGGATAGATATGTATCAACGCGTTGCGGGCCTCGCGAAGATACGGGGGAAGTTGCGAAATGTATTACCAACAAGATGCTAGCGTTCTAATGGCTTCTATTGTAATTTTCAAGGTACAGAGCAATGGTAGTTCAATATGGCGGATGTTTTTTTTCTTTAATAAAGCTTGATTTTTGAACCAATGTAAACTGCACATAGAGCCAAGACTTTGGTTCGTGGAATTTTAACGTATATTACAAATGATAGTTTGGCGGCCTAAATAACTTCGTTAGAAATTTGTCAAAAATCTATGGTAAAATTTTTAAATAACTTATGTTCCGATTGGAGCAAAAAGAATCTAAAGTATTCAAATTCTTGGTGGCACCCAGTCGTCGACTTTAGGTAATACAAACCTGCATCACGCCTGTAATCCCCAAGGGGATGGTCAGAATCCAAAAACCAGCGAACTACTCGGATCATGTTTAGCCAAAAAAGCCTTTAATAAATAGAGCTACTTTATTCCTTAACTAAACAAAAAGGTTACATTCTTTTACTTTACATTAATACTCGCAATTCATTTTAGCGTAGAAAAAACTCATTGTACTTAGCTGTTTTCAAACAATTCGTCATATTGTTGCAAGCGAAATTTTCTGCAATCAAATCAGTTGCCACATCACGTACAAATCGATGCAATTATTCGATACTCGACGCTAATCGACAAACCCGTAATTGACTTCGATAGCTGTTGACATCGCGACATCGAATGTCGAGTCGAGTGTCATAGATCGCGCATCATTAGCCGCGCCTTTGTATTGTGAGTATAATTGTTTGTTTATAACCTAATAGCAAAAGACTGATGTTTTTTTACAAAAAAAAAACCTTGTTAATTTATAGGCAATAATGCATTTTGCATAATAAACAAACTACTCTTGACAGAATATCTTCTTCGTCAACATGTTGAGGCTTTGTGTGAGCCTTAATACCATTTTACGTAAACAAATTTGTCGGCTCCGTCGCGTCGGTTTGAATCCCGCTAGTAACAAGTATAGTTCTTGTGCAATTTATATTATAAAGTGCTTCCATGATACAGGAGTAAATCCTGGTGTGGTGAAAACGTTTCTTTTTTTTTAAACTGTAATTGCAACTTTGCAGACAGTCTAGTAACGTACTGATATGGTACAATGATCCATAACTTCATGCCCATAACAGTTTACTGGCGAATCGAAAGCACAGACAAAAAAAACACAATAACTGTGGAGTTACTTCAGAACTTTCAAAAAATAGATATATTATTTAAGGTGTTAAGATGCCATCTTTCGGAAGCCATAAAACCTCCCTAGCATTTTCTATAGTGATCTTAGTTTTTAATATCTTTTATAGAGTAAGGGTGACAATCGAGCACACAGTCCACCTGATGGTAAGTGGATGCTGTGGCCCATAGACATCGACATGACACATCATTATAAGAATCAAAATACAGATGCGTTGTCACCTCTGAGGACTACGATGAAATGCCTCGTTTCCAGTAATCCCGATCGAGCCAACCTATTCGTGCTACAACCACAAAATAGCTTAATAAAATAGCTTTAACAAAATAGTTTCTTTTCAAAAACAAAGTTCGTGAACACTTTAGAGAAGCATTGCAAGTGTGAATTAACGCTTTTTTTTTCTAAAGAATGATTCTATCGTCACATATTTTCCTTATTTATCATGGAATAAATATATATAATATTATGTATATATGTTTATATACTCCATGTATTTAAGTAGATTTATGTATTTGTATACGTCTGTATTAATATATTAATATTATATGTAGATTTGTATGATATGCGTATAGAATACCTTATAAACAAGTATATATATATATATATATATATATATATATATATATATATATATATATATATATATATATATATATTATACGAGTATATTCTGATTTATCCGAACTTCGTAATGGCTGCAGCGTGGCTCTAGCACGTAGACTATATACTATAATTATACAACACCCCACGGGATGAAATGGGACAATCGATTATCTAACGCCTCCACTATAAGATAATCAGAATATCATTTTGAACGCATTTTTCAAGACCATCTTAGTTATTTACTCAAATACTTCTTCATCAGTCCGTGACCAGTCTATTAGGCATGAGGCTCTTCAGGTGAATTTGTCATATTTCCGTCGACTGCCATAGCAAAGTACCACATTTTGAAATTTTTAGCAATTAAAATATTATTGTAGAACATACAACAATGCCTCTAACACACGTTCTCAAAGTAAGTTTACGTGGTAGAGCCATGCTGCAGCTATATTAGTAGTATAGTGGTAGCGTGAATGGGTCGACTCGACTGGGTAAAGACCACGCTCTCACTGTATACCAACGTAAAATAGCAGCTTAACGCTGCTGTGTTTCGTATGGTGAGTGTAGAGAAGACTCTTTTTACTGTGAACGAGGCATTCGATCTTAGTCCCCACGGGTGACGACGTATCTGCATTTTGGTTCGTAATCGAGGATAAATGTAGATGGACCTCAGGACCGTGCTTTGTGCATTCCTTGGAAAGGCCTATGTATGTCGAGTATTGGACTTTTGATGGACTGTAATGATGATGATGATGATGTAAAATGGTATTAGGGCTTAAACCAAGCCTCAAGTAGGTATTCTATATGAGGTAATCGCTGTCCCAGTGGTAGTTCAGAAGAGAGCAGCAGTAAGAGATGTCACCATCATTCTACTGCTTGATTTCTTCCCCTCAGCTTCCAAACGGAAACCGGCAATCAAATAAGACGGGGTTGTAGAAGAAATCAATATCTGTAAAAAACAATATTAAACTACAATTATAAAACAAACATTAAATTACAAAAGACTTATTCTGGTATTAACTCAATTAATGGGAATAACATTAATAATAAAAACCAATCGGCTTTAGTTAATACAAGTACGGTATTAGTCATACTAACGACAAATATGAACAATAGGGTTGCCATACTAAGTCCGAAGCGAAATAAATATTCATTCGCGTTCAAGGAACCGTCGGGAGTCGATTCGTCCCGCAGATACGCCACATTTGAATGCCGAGTCCCGATAGTATTGTGGACTAAACCTTATATTGATTAAAAAGCATATTTACATTGAAATTTACATATGCCGTGCCTCGCATCGCACTTATCGATTTGAAACCGCAAGGACGTTTTGTATTTGTAATGTCTCGTACGATGGCTGGATATTAAGAACATTGTTTCTTTAGAAATGATTAAAGCCCTGTCAGCTATTGAGTGATATTTTCAACATTTACCAATAGAGATGCGTGCTTGAACTGGGAATTTGATAAATTTAAAATTGGCAAAGGCATCCATTTAGGACACTTTGTTTTATTATTTGAATATTACTAACCGTGTCCTGCTCTCGTTGCAATTTCTCTTTAGTCAGAAATCTTTGCGGGCACACACACAACAACACACCTAAGATTCATCGCAATTG